TAAAGGATAGAGCTTCCCTCTCAGAGCTTGTTGCCTTCTGGATGGCCACATGCTGCATCAGGTCTCCCAGGTGGAGCTGCAAGTTGGATCTGGCTGCTCTGTGTACCAGAAGCATTTTGATGTGCAATACTAGAAAAGAAAAAAAAAATACAAAAAAACAAACAAACAAAAAACCTACAAAATAAATATATTATATTATTTAAAGCAAAAAAAAGAAAAAAAAAGGAAAAAAAAAAAAAGGAAAAATAAAACACCTAAGTTCCTCCTTCCATGGGTGAGTTTAATCAACGTCCCTTCTCCTGGGTGGTGTTGGGGGAGTGGAGATTCCCAAAGCCAAGAGGGGGAATGGAAGGAGGAGAAGGGAAGAGATTGGTGCTAAAATAGAGAGAGAGGATGGGCTCGTCTGATTTGTTTCTACCTCTCACTGTGAAATCTCTGGTGCTCTTAAAAAAATTGTGTTATTTTATATATATGACTTAAAACTATTTAAGGTTGTGAAGGTGCTACCGTGTCTTGCCACAGACCCCAGAGAAAAAAAACAAAAAGCAACAAATAAATAAGCCCTGAGGACCATCTCTCTAGGAAGGGAGGAGGTTCTGAGCTACAGCTGAATCAGAGAACCAGTCACCTCAAAAGGGATCTTCAGGCACGTGGGTGTCAGGTCCGCACAGCAACTCCAGCTGGGCCCAAAATATCTTCCAGGATACTTTAGAAGCAAATTTCCTTTTTTGTTTGGGTTTTTTTTCGTTGTTGTTGTTGTAGTTGTTGTTGTTGTTAATCAGCACTTCACTGCTTTGGGAAGGGAGTGAGGGACACAGCTCATCTGGAAGCCCTGAGCTGTTCTGGAGTCGTGTCATGTCATGTCATAGCTCAGCTCTGGTGGGCTCGGCTGCCCCGGCTGGTTCCCTGGGCTCAGCTCCTGGTTAATCCCAGCCCTGCAACCCTTCTGGCCAGCCCCTCTGTTGGAAGCCCCATCCCTGGAAGTGTTCCAGGCCAGGTTGGATGGGGCTTGGAGCAACCTGGTCTAATGGGAGGTGTCCCTGCCCATGCAGGGGGGTTGGAACTAGATGATCTTTAAGGTCCCTTCCAACCCAAACCATTCCATGATTCCATGATGGTACCTTCTTTCAGAACCCAGCCGGGCTTGGAGGGGTTTTGTTTTGTTAAGTTTTGTAGAAATTTAGTCTCTGTATGTAAATTTGGAGGATTTTTTTTTTATGATTTTTTTTTTTTTTTAAAGAGGATAATTATGGTAATCTTTAATTCTATATAAGGAATAATATTGATGTAATCAGAGCTGTACTGTATCAGAAACGCTTCAGTGCCTGTTTGGAGTTTTCATGTCTCATGTGGACTATGGATTTTATTTTTTTGAGGAAAAAAAAAAAAAAGATACGTGAGTCTCTCTTTGTCTGTTCTTGTTTGGGTTTGTTGGGTTTTTTTTTTACTACTGCCTGCTGGTTGCAACAACCATCAGAAAAGGTTAACAAGGGCTGTTCCAAATACCTCACCCTCCACGCAGCCCTGTCCTCCACTCAGGAATAACCCACCCCATGGGGCAGCTTGTTCTGGCACCCCCAGGCCAAAATCACCATCACTCATCCCAAAATCACTATCACTCATCCCAAAATGACCATTGCTCATCCCAAAATCATCATTGTCACTCATCCCAAAATCACCATAACTTATCCCAAAATCACCATCATCATTCATCCCAAAATCACCATCACTCATCCCAAAATCACCACCACTCACCCCACAATCACCACCGTGGCACCACTTGCTCCCCCCCCTGCACACACACTCCCACCCTCCTGGGTTTCTCCCTCTCTCAGTTTCCTGTGTTTCCCTGAGGTAGGAGTTCCCCTTTCTTCTCATTAAAGCTTTATTATTTTTTTCCCCTTTTTTCTCTTTTTTTTTTTTTCTTTGTTTTACTTTAAATAAATATTTAAACCTGAGGCAACACAGTGGGGCTGCTGTGGGGTTGGGTTTTTTGCTGCTTCCTAGGAAGCTAAGAAGGTAAGAAGGGCAGACACAGCCTGTGGGTGACAAAGACCCCCCCAGAGGAGCCCAACCACCACC